GGGAGAGTTAGCGAGAGCAGGAACACAAGCAGGGAGAGTGGGAGAGGGAGAAGCAGGCTTCCCGCTGAGCAGGGAACCCAATGTGGGGCTTGATCCCGGGACCCCGGGATCATGACCCGAGGCGAAGGCAGACGCTTAACGGCTGAGCCACCCAGGCGCCCCAGCTGACGGTTTTCTGTTCTGTGGACGGGACTTGGGATAAAACAAGTCTGGGGGGACGCCAGGGCTTTTCACTGCGGGTTTCTACGCTGTCCCTGCCATTCGCCTTCAAAGCCCACACTTGGAGGGAGCCAGCCCTTCGGTTTCCCCGAAAAGCTGCTCTCACCCACCCTCCAAGGGCCAGGCCTCAGCTGGCGACAAGGGCGCATTCTAGAGCGGGGCTGGGGACACGGGCAGGGGCATTAAGCCCACAGTCAGCCTGGCCGAGCACCTGCCAAGCCCACAAACCGGGTCCTCCCAGGACTCAGCAAGCAGGACTTGACATGTTTTCACTTTGCAGCAAGGAGCACGTTTCCCCTTCGCGCGGAAGAAGGTACTCCCCCACTGTTAAATCTCAATGCATATGAAAGATGATTGCCAAACTGTAACACGTTCCAGTTACAGCCCGCCAGACTGAGCCAGGCTCCTGGAAGAAGAACTTGAGTGGCTCTCGGAACAAGTCATGCTTCGGCGCCCTGAGCTAGGGCCGTTTCGGGGCCTTCTAGACTTGGGTATGGCCCAAGGGCAGCCACGGTTAAGAACAGCACTGTTCTGCCACAGCCGTTTTCCGGACTCTATTTGGGGCCTGGGGATTCTGGATGCATAAAGGTAAAAGCAAATCACACACAAATAAGAAATAGGTACAGACAAGTCAAAGAAAAAAGTGCCACCAGGGGTCCATAATTCTATGAAAGTAATCTCCCTCCTAATAAGAGAAATGCAAAGTAAAACTACCTGAGCTGCTGTTTCTCAGCGACAGTCTGACAACGAAGTGCCCTGGTGATTCTGTGGGTATCACTGTGGAAGCGCACGACCCCCCAGGAAGGGTCTGGCGAGATCTAGCACGATCACCTGAGAACTTGGCCTTTGGCCCAGCAATCCCGATTCTAGGACTCTACCCCAAAGGCATCCTGGCCACAGTTGTGGTAAATGCATGGCCACTGGGCCCCTTGGCCACTGTGCTCTCCACAGGGAGGTCTGACAGGTGAATTTTTATGGTCCTAACATTTACGTTCACCACTCATTTGTGGCCAGATGTCTCTGTTGAACCGTATTCCTAACCTTTTCCTTTACGGCAAGCTGAAAAAGATTTTATTTGGAATAATAAAACAATTTCCTTATTTATTTATTTTTTTTGGTCTTTTCACTGACTACAAGTCAAATTTGAGGAGGCTCAGATTTTTGATTGTTTTAAAAAGAAATTATAGGCCAGCGGGTTTTCTTTTTAAATGAACAGATGTTTGGCATTTGATACAGTTTGACGTCTGGCTTTTTTTTTTTTTTAAGATTTTATTTCTTTGTCAGAGAGAGAGAGAGACAGCACAAGCTGGGGGAGGGCCAGGCAGAGGGAGAAGCAGGCTTCCCGCGGAGCAGGGAGCCCGATGCGGGACTCGATCCCAGGACCCCGGGATCATGACCTGAACCGAAGGCAGACGCTTAACCCAGTGAGCCACCCAGGTGCCCCTAATGTCTTGCTTTTTTTCTTTTTTGAGTCTACCTTTTCAAATAGATAACACGTTTCAAAATAATACAAAAAGCAGATTGAAGTCTTGCTCCTTTCTGTCCCCATCTGTCCCCATCCTCCCGTGGTGACACTTGCCCTGGACTGGACCGTCCCGTGCTGCCTGTCACCTCAGCGCCCCCCCCCCCCACGTTGCCCAGCAGTTGTCATGTTACAGGATACTATTTCCACTTTTATTAGAGTGAGGAGACATGAGCTTCGGGGACCCCTAGCTTGTCCCGATTTGGTACTGAGTGCATCAGACACAGTGAGCGCTTGACCACAGTGTTAAAGTTGAGAAGAGACCAGCAGTGACCTTCTCTGTGCCTGACCCTTTCCAAACCCAACAGAGCACGTCCCCGTCAGGCCCGTGGGGAGGGCGTTCGCCCTGGGGTGGTTGCAAACAGGTACCGCTCTGTCAGGTGGCAGGAGGCGGTGCGGAGCCTGCCGTCTGGGGTCAGCAGGAAATCCTAGGTGGTGGGTGTTTGAGCTGCGAACAGAGGGAACCCCAAATGTTCTTGCTACAGTGGCTTTGTCAGTTAGGGTGTGGTGGAAATCTGTAACTAACCATTTTTTATAATACTTTTCTATTTCACGATAAACTTCCAGCAAGAGTGAGCTTTAAAAAGTATGTATCTGGAGCACCTGGGTGGCTCAGTCGGTTAAGCGTCTGCCTTCGGCTCAGCTCATGATCCTGATCCCGGGGTCCTGGGATCAACTCCTGCATCGGGCTCCCTGCTCCGTGGGAATCTGCTGCTCCCTCTCCTTCTGCCCCTCCCCTTGCTTGTGCTTTCTCTCTCTCTCTCTCTTTCTCTGATAAATAAATAAATTCTATTAAAAAAATTAAAAGTATGTATCTAATGGTGCACCCGGCTGGCTCATTTGGTAGAGCATGTGGCTCTTGATCTCAGGGTCATGAGTTCAAGCCCCACACTGGGCGTAGAAATCGCTTAAGTAAACTTTTAAAAAAAAAGTGTGTATCTAACGAAAACTGAGTGAATACTGAGTGTCCATTTCCACATGTAACTTATAGAGAAGTTTTGTTGACCTTAGCGTCCTAGCAAGTTCAATGGCTGGAAAACCAGAAGACATGAATCTGCAGCCTCAACTTCAAAAATTAGCAGTCGCTTTAAATAAACTTTGCCCAGAGACAAGGATAGCTGTTAATACGTAGACGACTCCAGCAGAACCATATCCAGCCACGTGATGCCAGGTCAACCAGTGCCTCGACCTGGCTCAAATAGAATCAGCAACTTTATCAGTTCTCCTAAGGTTCAAATTTTCACTCAGTCCTTATGATCAATGCTGACGGTGAAATCATCTGATATCGTTTGAATGTTACTGTGAAATCAGTTTAAAAGTTCAACAGCTGGGGCGTCTGCCTCGCTCCTGGGCAGACCATGGGACTCTTGACCTCAGGGTCATGAGTTCGAGCCCCACACTGGGCAAAAAGCTTAGCTTTAAAAAAAAAAAAAGAGTCCAACGACTAAGATGAAATTGTTCTTGTGGTAATAGGAATGCACAGCTGGCTGGAGCCTAGTGGTGCAAAAATGTGCTTGCAAAATGAAGAAATCTATGGAGCATAAGTGCACTCGGAATTGGACGTGGCACGCACATAACTCATAAGGTGTCTAAGCGAGCTGTGATAGCCTCCTGACTCAAACCTACACCATAGGGACACCTGGGCGGCTCAGTCAGTTAAGCGTCTGCCTTCAGGTCCTGATCCCAGGGTCCTGGGATTGAGCCCTGCATCGGGCTCCCTGTTCAGTGGGGAGCCTACTTCTCCCTCTCTCTGCTGCTCCCCCTGCTTGTGCTGCTCACTCTCTCTGACAAATAAATAAAGTCTTACAAAAAAAAAGTACAGAATAGTCTCCAACTTTTAACAGGTTTCAGAGCAGCTAAACTACAAAATTTTTGTGAAACAGTGAATGTTGAACCTAACAAGCCCTTGAGCACAGCGGTGTGGGTGTTCCCTCTTTGTTGTTCAACATCCTATTTTAGAAATGTTTAAGGGGCACCTGGGTGGCTCAGTCGGTGAAGCGTCTGCCTTCGGCTCAGGTCATGATCCCAGGGTCCTGGGATCGAGTCCCACATCAGGCTCCCTGCTCAGCAGGGAGTCTGCTTCTCCCTCTCCCACTCCCCCTGCTTCTGTTCTCTCTCTAGCTGTCTCTCTCTCTCTGTGACAAGTAAATAAATAAAATCTTAAAAAAAAAAAAAGTTTGAGCCTTCAGCTGTTGAAAATCAACATATACTGAATTGACATTTTTTTCTTGTAAATGAGACCTCTAAATTTTGGTAGTATTTTGTCCAAAATCAGTTGGAAACCATTCATTCAAGCATTTGCTGCATGAATTGGTAATAAACTTCAGCTTTTGTTATGTCCTGAATCGTCATTCTCCGCTATTTCCGAAGAAATCCATTTTAGCTGGTAAAAAAAAAAAAAAAAGGAAAGAAACTTCAGCTTTTGAAACTCTTAGTTGCAATTATTGGGAAGTCACACTGGGAAACCGGAAAACAGTGAATGTGGTCCCTTCAGAAGGAAGGGAAGAATGAGCAAATTAAATATTGGCAGAGCACTCTAGAATATCTCAGCTGGTGGACAGACTCTATTAGTGGAATTCCTATTTTAAATTTAAATGTATATTCTGTCCTGCAATAGACTGAAATTGAGAGGGTCTCCGTGTTGTAGCACTAACATTTGGTAAACAGTCAAAAGAATCAGAGACCACTTACAGATGACACAAGTCACATGGCCTTTCTGGATCTTTCTCGCATATAAAATGAGGATCCCAGATTGTACTTTGCTTTTTATTATAAGGATTAAAAAGCATGTATAGAAGGTACATTAGGATGGTGTCTAGCACAGAGCAGGCCCTGAAATTTTAAGGCTGCGTGAGTTTTAACTCTTGAAAAATGTAGTCGTTTGTTCTATTATCACATTAATTTTTTATTTTACTTCTCCCCCATGTAAAATTGAAGTATTTTTAAATGCATTTTTTATAAAGGCACTTATAAAGCTGACACATAGCCAAGGAACACAATTTAGAAAATACCAAAGAATATTCAAAAGCCAACCCACAGCTCACCCTAAATAATTCATGGTTGAATGTTCATTCATTTCCTGGCAATGCATTTCTATGTGAATGACTGAATGAGAAAAAGAAAACAAATTCTCTTCAGGCAGCTTCCAGTAACGTTTCTTGAAAAACTGTGCTTTGCACATTGAATCATCTCGAAGCCCTTGTCAAATACGGAGCGACCAGAGACCGACTCTGGTCGATACCACTGATCTGTTTACCCTATGTCGGCACTGAACCATCTCGATCACTGCAGTCTTGTGGTAAGTTTTATTTTTTATTTATTTTAAAATATTTGCACTCGGGCGCCTGGGTGGCTCAGTTGGTTAAGCGACTGCCTTCGGCTCAGGTCATGACCCTGGAGTCCCGGGATCGAGTCCCGCATCGGGCTCCCTG